CAGGTTTGTCTCAGGTGCGTCTCCTCACTGTGTGATGTCATGTTTCAGGTTAGTCTCAGGTGGGTCTCAGGTTGGTCTCAGGTGTGTCTCAGGTTAGTCTCTGGTGTGTCTCAGGTTAGTCTCTGGTGTGTCTCAGGTTAGTCTCTGGTGTGTCTCAGGTTAGTCTCAGGTTTGTCTCAGGTGCGTCTCCTCACTGTGTGATGTCATGTCTCAGGTTAGTCTCTGGTGCGTCTCAGGTTAGTCTCAGGTGCGTCTCCTCACTGTGTGATGTCATGTTTCAGGGCGGGGTCATCCTGGTGTCTCACGACGAGCGTCTGATCCGCATGGTGTGCAAGGAGCTGTGGGTGTGTGAGCACGGGAAGGTGGGCCGCATCGACGGAGGCTTCGACGAGTACCGGGACATCCTGCACGAGCAGTTCAAGAAGGAGGGTTACCTGTGAGGCCCCGTTCAGCGCTTCAACAAGCCCCGCCCCCTCTAACAACATCCTGTTATAGCAGCCAATCAGCAGCCTGGAGGACGGTTTTTTTTTCTCCTCTGAACTGATGTGCTGCAGGCCGATTGGTCGATTTCCCCTGGTGATGTCAGTGAACTCTGGAGGAGGCGGAGTCTATTTAAAGTCCATCGTTACATTTAACCTGATTTTTTTTTTTTTCTGTGTGATCGACTCTTAAAAGGACCCAACATTACATTCAGACACAAAACAAATAAATCCATCCGATCATGGTCTGTTCTTCTTCTGCTGATTCCTTTAAAGCATCATTCTGTCTTCATGGGGGGGGGTTTCCTTTTATGTATACAGTATCAGAAGTGTTTCTATAAAGATATAGTATGAGTACTGTGTCTGTTTACTGACCTTGTTTATAAGATATATCAATTCTCTCAAGAACATGGCGGACGTAAACGACAACGTGGCGGCGTAAACAACAACAACGTAAAGTAAACCGTGGCGTAAACCGACAACGTGAGGTCGGAGCCCCCCATTGAAAACAAAGCTCTGTCTGAGACTCAGATTACTGGAGGAATGATACCGTTTTTGAGGCATCTGTTTAATCATTTTACGGGAAATCTGCATTTTGGTTTGAGGGCGCAGAGAGACCCTGATGTGTGGTGCTTTACAAGGGACTCAGAAACTCTCAGGTCAAAGTAAAACATGTTCAAGGAACAAACCTATAGCTTTCAGTAAGGGAAGCACAAAGAGGAAGACGTTATAAAATCTTTATTAAAAATACTCTTCAAAGAACACATTATTCCCCTGAAGTAAAAAACAAACCAATGTTATAGATGAGCAAGAAAAGGAGATGAATTCAAGTTGCCTTTCTTTCGTACACTCTTACCTCTGTACATGTATATAAGTCCTCCCAATGTAACGACAAGATATTGGTATTTTCCCTTAAGACACCGAACGATTTCTGATACGACCAAACTACGGTTTACGCTTGGCCTCAGTTAGGCGTCCCAATGAGGCCCCTCCTTAAAGTGTCTCTACAGCTCGGGGCTCCAGGACGCCCCCCCCCCCGTCTCTTAGGCGAGGCAGGACAGCGTCTTGGTAAAATGTCTCGAGTTTGGACAGCGTCTCCTCCCACAGCTCGGGGTCAAAGGTCACCGGGACCACGGCCGTCTCTTTAAGGGTGAAGACAACGAAGTCGGCCTGATGGAGGCCCGTCACCGCCATCTGGAACTGGACCTGAGTGAAGTAGCTGTGGGACGACTTCAGGACGTACACCGGGACCTGGGGACGAGGAGAGGAGGAGACGACGTGAGAGACGAGGAGAGGACGATAGAGGAGAGGAAGTTAGAGAGGAGGTTAGAGACGAGGAGAGGAAGTTAGAGACGAGGAGGGGAGGATAGAGACGAGGAGGGGAGGTGAGAGGAGGTGAGGGACGAGGAGAGGAGGATAGAGATGAGGAGGGGAGAGGAGAGGAGGATAGAGACGAGGAGAGGAAGTGAGAGACGAGGAGGGGGAGAGGAGAGGAGGTGAGAGACGAGGAGAGGAAGTTGGAGACGAGGAGGAGAGAGACAAGGAGAGGAGGTTAGAGACGAGGAGAGGAAGTTAGAGATGAGGAGGAGAGAGACGAGGATAGAGGAGAGGAGAGGAGGAGAGAGACGAGGAGAGGAGGTGAGAGACGAGGAGAGGAGGATAGAGGAGAGACGAGGAGAGGAGGATAGAGACGAGGAGAGAGAGGAGGAGAGAGGAGAGAAGAGGAGGATAGAGACGAGAGGAGGAGAGAGACGAGGAGAGGAGGAGAGAGACGAGGAGAGGAGGTGAGAGAGGAGGAGAGGAGAGGAGGAGAGAGGAGAGGAGAGAGACGAGGAGAGGAACGAGGAGAGGAGAGGAGGTGAGAGACGAGGAGAGGAATTGAGAGACGAGGAGAGGAAGTGAGAGAGGAAGTGAGAGACGAGGACATGTCAGTGTGATGTAGTCTGACCTCTCCGGGCCTCCGTCCGTCCTCGTCCTGTATCTTCAGGCAGAAGTTGGGGT